GGCCTATGTTCCCCAAACTAACTTGTAGAGGTTAAGTAAAAAAGCAATGTTGTGTCTTTTCTTGGAGTCCCAACTCATATCAATAATGTGAAGAAGTGCAGGTCTCTTTTTTAACATGCCACTGGAACTAGGTTATGTAAAAAGTGACATAAATGAGCACACGCGTACACATTCTTTTTCTTTATGTTTCCTTTTTCCCTTCTCAAGCACTTGACTTCGACCTTCCTGTATTTTGGTTTATAGGATTAATCACATGTGCCAACTACCACTTACCTGCCAGGTAAAACATCAATTTGGAGATGTTTGTTGATTAGTAAAAACTTTGTTTCCTGGAAAAATTAACATTTCTCAAAGGGCTTGCAGTCAAAAAGGAAAACTATAAAAGAGGAAAAGAAAGGTATGCAAAACATTTTGGTTTGCTGCTTTCAAGGGCTTATAATTTGTCGACATGTTTCTCAGGACCTAGTCCAATTTTAGTGGGTTAATGATTGCCGAAGCACCTATGGAGTTCTAAAATTTGCAATTCCAATCGCATATACACACAGTTCTCCACACATGGTGGAAAACAAAAACAAACACTATTTCAAAATGCACAAGATAATAGTTATAAAGTGGAATATTTGTTAATTAGTAAATTAGCCTTATAAATCTTCATCAGCATGAATTTAGACACTGAAATTAAGTCACTTTTTTTGAATCACTACATATTTCTGTATTTCGTTTTACCATTCTAGACTATTCGAAAGGTTAGAATTAAACAAAAGGAAAAGAGTGAAAGACTGAAAGTATAATGCATGCAGGACTGTACTTTTTGATAAAGGCGCCTGGGGGCGCTGATTATTATTATGCATTAAAGTAAAGAGAGTTATTGCAGTGCCGGATAATTTTATCGAAACAGTCCCTAATTTGTCTTTGCGGAAAGTAGAGAAAGCAAATAAAGGTGGTTCACTTGAGAAGTGCTCGCCACACTCGACATTAGTAAGTGAGTTACAGTTGCTCCCAAACTTCTCTAGTGTGTGCGCCACTTGGTTTCCTTCACGGTATACATGCCTAACTTCCGGTTGGTCCAGTGTTTGTAACATGAACCTGCAATCATGGAGAAGATTAGCATTTGCTTTAGTGTGAGAATTGTCATGTAATAGTTGTAGTAATACCTGGCAATCTGTTTCCATTATAAGCGATGTTCGATCTTTTGTGAAAGCAAGTCCCAATCCTTTCAGTAGGGCGATGATTTCAGCTAGTATGGGTGATGAGGCCATTGTATGGTAGGAGAATCCATCAATCCATTGACCTTCGGAATCTCTGATGATTCCACCTGCTCCTCCTTTGTTGGAGTTTTTTTGGTGTATACCATCTATATTGAGTTTATAGATGTTGTGTGGTGGTGGTGGTGGTGGTGGTGGTGGGGGGGGGTCCATTTTATCGGTGTTTTAGACGTTATTGGGTGTTTGAAGTTCTGATTTGTGAGATAGAGATATTCCATTGCATAAATAATAATTTTTCTGCTATCAATGTGGAGGGAGTCATTATTGAAAAGGTTGTGGTTGCGGTTTAGCCAAATATGCCAAAGGATAATAGGCGTTATAATAGCCAAAGGTATGGAAAAATTGTGTGGTAGAAGGATGGTTGCGTCCGAGGTACAATTTTCTTTTATCCAATCAAGTTAGTTTGAGTGTGTTGGTGGACTGATGTTTAGTTCTCCCCATATGTTGCTGTTGATGGGGCATTGATAGAGGAGGTGGCATGTGTTTTCCTTTTTTCCACAGTGTTTGCATGAGTTGTTCTCTATTATGTTTCTTTGGTATAGAATAGCCGCAATTTATAGTCGTTGGTGTAGTAGAAGCTAAAGGAAAGTTTTTAGTTTGTTATGGCACTGTGCTTTCCATAACCAGAAGTGGTGAAAAGGCTCCTGTTGTCGGGTAGTCCTTGTTATTCTAGTGAAGAGATTGTAAGCTGATTTCATTGTGAAGTCCCCATCCTCTGTTTCTTTCCAGAAAAAAGGAGTCGCTTAGTTGTTCAGAGAAAGGAATGTAAGTTTGTTGTATGAGTTAGAGATTGTATTTTGTAGGTCATATGTTAGTGCATCTAGATTCCAGTTATTATTGGTAATGATACTGTTAACTTTTTTAGTAGAATCTTCCTTGTCAAGTGGTCCCTCAATTAGTTCCCGTAGTGTGTGGCTGCCTGTAACCCACCTATCTTCCCAAAGTCGTACTTTGGTCCCGTTTTCAATGTTCCAGGATATGCCTTTGGAGAAGAAAGAATATGTTTTGGCAGCACTTTTCCAGATGTAGGAGTCGTTATTTTTGAAAACTGTGTGATTTCTTCTTTGGATGTTGGTGTATTTTGCTTTAAGACTTTTTGCCCAAAGGGTGTCAGGGTTTGTGTGTGATCTCCATAGTAGGTTAGAAAAGAGTACACTATTCTTCCCTGTTGCTTTGTACAGTCCCAGGCCACCCTCTCTTTTAGGAGAAACTACAATATTCCAATTGATGTGATAAATTTTTCATTGTTCCGTTGTTGACCCCTATAGAAAGTTTCGGTGTATGCGGTCAATATTATTTCTAATCTTGGCTGGGAGAAGGTTTATTTGCATGGAGTGGGTTGGTATTGCTGAGAGAGTCGATTGTATAAGGGTTAGTTTAGCAGATAAGGTGAGTAAATTAGCTTTCCATCCTTTAAGCCTAGTATTCTTTCTGTCCAAAATGAATTGGTAATCAGAGCTTTCTGGTTGCATGTTAGTGATTGGGAAACCCAGATACTTTCCTGCATTGGTTATCTTAATGTTAGTGTCGTAGCCACCGATGCTTGTTCTGTAGCTGGTACATTAGAGGAAAAAATGATTTTTTATTTTAAAAAGTTTATTCTTTGGCCGAATTGGTGGGCAATAAAGTTGAATATGTTAATGATAGAGGTTGCGCTAGAGTTGTCAGCCTCAGCGAATAGGATTAGGTCATACGCAAAAAAGGAGGTGGGATATGGCTGGTCCGTTGTGACTTATTTTAATAGGTTTCCAATTCAAGATATCCACTTGGTGGTCAATGCATCGTGTTAGCTATTGCATACAGATGATGAAGAGGTATGGAGATAGCGGATCTACTTAACGGATGCCTCTTGACGGTTAAAAAAAATTAGTAAGCTTGCCATTGACAATGATTGAGGTTGTAGTGGTAGTTATACAATTCATAAGAAGCGTTATTAGGTCCTGTAAGAAGTTTAGAGCATTCAGTGAGCTTCTGACGAATGACCATTCAAGTCGGTCAAAAGCCATTTCAAGGTCAATTTTTATCATCAGCTTCCCAGTCCGACCTAATACATACACAAACAACTAGTGAAGTGCAGAATTACAGAGAATAATGATTTTACGTGGAAAACCTCCTTGCTCAAGGGAGAAAAAACTACGTCCTCCTTCAAAACTTTACTAACTTCAAAGAGCATTATTATGTTACAACTCAATAATCAAGGAGACAAATTCTAGTACCTCTGCTAACTTCAAAGAGCAGTTTTAGGTTTTTAATAACCAGAGAAAGACAAATTCTAGCACTCTTCCCCTACAGTCAACTAAATTGTAGCTATCCCTTTCTAAACTAACTCTTGTCTATAAAGCAAAACCGAAACTCAAAAGTTATGCTAACTTATATTTACACTTCTTTAAAAGAAAAATAGGTTACAATTAAGAACAATGACTCAACTTGATAACTAAAGAACTAAAGGGCATCCTCTTCGAAATCTGGTTCTTTTGGTTGAGCAGTTTGAGTTCGTAAGAGCACCTTATTGATTAAGAATGCTATTGCCAAGAGTGATTCCTTGAAACTGTGTGAATAGCATAAGTCTTTAATAGTAGCAATAAGGCTCTTTATATAGGTATGATATTGGCTGAAATTCCGCTCCAATTAATGCACCAAAACCTAGAATACTTCGGTTAAGAAAAGTCTTTCCTTATTAGATTTGGTTTCCTTATTTGTTTTTAACTCTTCAACCTTTTCTTTCACTGCAAGTTTTTCATACTTGGTAAAACCCTTTTGAATATGGATTCCTCCAGCTAATATTTCCTTATAGCATACAAATTGACTTCTTTCCGAAATTCAACTTGCATTCAATCGTCTACCGTTTCTAATCAACATCTTTCGTATTCTTCTTAATCCTGCTACGGACCTAGTGCTCTCTTCATCTGTGTGTCATGTTTTGACACCATTTAGTAGCATAATAAATAAAATCAATTGAACCTGATTCTTTCAACATATTTGTTAATTATCAATACTTAATTTAAGCTAAAATAGCCCAGCTTAACAAATTCCTCCTTTTTGATGATGATAAATCCATTTGAAAATTACACAACTGTTTGAGTTATTCTTTTGCAGTCTTCAGCTCAAGAACCAGTTTTATTCTTAGCACTCTTCTTCAGATTGTCCGTTTTTGCATAAGTGTAGGGCCTCACCTCAATTCATTGCAAGCCTATAGAGGGTTAGGCATAAGAACCATATTGATTTAACATTTTCAATCCTACAACACACCTATCCTTTATTACAGTTACATGTTTAACAACTCAAGTGCATTATGACCAGGTTCGTTGATCAATCTATGTACACATCCTTATTTTTTCCCTTTTGCCATCATGGAAAAATTAAAACATTAGTAGAGTTAATAAGTAAAACTAATAATATCAAACTCATGGCCACTTGGGCTACACTAACATGAACACA